TCTTAAGTGAACTGTAACACACAAGTCTTAAGTGAGCTGTAACATACAAGTCTTAAGTGAGGTGTAACATACGGGATTATTTCTTGTCTATTTTTATAACAAACATAAAAAAAGAGAATCAGTTTGTTTTGCTGTTTAACTTTATCTCTGCTGCCAATCATCACTGTCCCTTTCAAGTGATTATGTTGTAGAAAAGCAAAAAGTAGCACTTCACTATCATATTTACTGAAACAAACTCAACAGCTCACAGGGACTTACTCTGTTAGAGTAAGCCTCAGGGGGGGCATCAGGCTTGGTGACAAAGCCCTGCACCAGGCGGATGAGTTCGATGGCATTTTCTGAGAGGGCCAGTGGAGTCTGGACACCGGAGCTGCCAATGTCCATCATACAGTTGTGCAGCATCATCTCGAGGAGACGTCTCTTGATCTCCTCAGGGGGCCGGATTGGCTCATGGGACTCCCTGAGCTCATCTATCCAGGTAAACACCTGACATCTCTCCTGAGGATCAACAGTTAATAATAAGCCATTATCTCACAGAACTCTCCAAGCTCAAATACCCAGGTAAGCACCTGACATCTATTCTGGGGGACAAACATAAAAATAAGTCTATTATTTTACAGGACTCTCTAAGCTCACATACTGAAGTACAACTCTCCCAGGGGGGAGAGAGGGTGGGGATAATCTTACAAATTGAATGACAGAGATGTTACCTACCTTCCATATCTCCTTGCTGGAGCCCTCAATACCTTTCCACATGATGGACAGGAGGATTATAAGTATATTCTGGCAAAGTTCTTCTTTTTGTTCTATGGCATCGGTCAGCTGCACCCCAACATGGTCAAGGACCTGAAGGACGTTGAGATGGAAGATAGAGACCAATAAATAGTGGAATGATTTTTTTTTTCTTCCCCCTCAAGTGTTGTTTAAAAATATCAACAGCAACACAGCACTGTGAATTCATGTGTTTAACTTAAAGGGACACGTGCTTAGCACAAGATGTTCATGAACAGATCTGATAACTACTGATGTTATGACACTGAAATTCATTAAAAAAGAAATGAGCAAAACAA